CCCCCAAAAAAAAAAAAACACAAACAAAAAAAAGCACAAAAACAAAGAACACCAAAAAAAAATAAAAATAAACCCCTCCAAAACCTAAAAGCCCTTTTGGAAGGCCCTTGGGCCCTTTCCCCGGCCTTCCCGAGGCGTCTCAGCTCCTTCCTCGGCGCATTTTTGAGGCCAGCAGAAGCCGGCTTTGAGGGCTTGGGGGTTTAAGGGTTTAAAGGTTAAGGGGTTTAGGGCTTAAGGGTTTAAGGGTTTAGGGGTTTAGGGGTTTAGGGGTTTAGGGTTTAGGGGTTTAGAGTTTGGGGTGCTGGTTTCAGGTGGTTTGGGGTGTTTTGGGGTGGGGCTTGGGTTTAAGGGTTCAGGGTTCGCAGTTGAGGCTTGTTTTTTCGGCTCTGCGTTTAGGCTTAAGGCGATTCGTGGTTGTGGCTGGGCCGAATGGCCTGATATCCAGGATACACCCCTAACACACACCAAACCCTCGGCCACATTCAAAGAGATGCACCCCTCAGGACTTCAAGATCGGCGCAGACGAGAAAACAAACCCGAATTGCCGCTTCATGAGAGGAACTCGACCATGAAGCTTGAACAGGTCTTAGTAAACGGTCTTAGACTTTGACTTGCAAGCAGATCAATCGGCAGAGTCGCTTCGCAAACTGGCCCATACGGATTACAAGCCTCTTTGCCAGACCCAAAATCCATGCACTCCCCGCTTAAATTTGTAAAAAAACCCTCCATCCCAGCCGCTAGACACAAAAAAACCTGAACCTGGGACGGCCGAGCGACTTCTCTTCCAGGTGAAGAGCTCTGCAAACATTCCTCGGACATCGGAGCTGGGGTTTGGGGCTTAAGAGGCTCAGGGTTCAAGGCTTCCGGCTTTTGTGGCTCAGAGCTGCAAGTCTTCAGGCTTTCGGGTAAGCTGTGAAAGGCTCAGGACTTCGGGGGTAAAGGGATATTTGGGGCAGAGCGGATGGAGCTGACTACCAGGGGTTTTGTGATTGAGGTTTCGGGCTATGTGCAGGATCACGGATCACTCCAGATGCTTGAGAGTTTGGGGTCTCTGGGCTTGTCGACTTGTACGACGTGTTCCTTGCAAAGGACTGCGATGAGACTTGCAGATGTCGTGCTGGAATGCTTCAGCTTCTGGATGAAGTGCTCACAGTGGCCGCGCTTGCTTCGCCGTACGATCGTATCTTGTGACTATAGTTGAACAGCGAAGCGAAACTCGAGGCACCCCATGAAGCTCGGCTTTCCCTGGCGACCCAGGTCTGAACTATCTGTTTGGGCTTCAAGCTCTGCACGTCAACTCAGGGGTAAAGTGCACAAAATCCCTGGCAGAGTGCTGAAGCCCTGAGTCCCTCAAGTCTGACCCGGCAAACTCCCCAACGTCTTCAGCGCGCAAGCCAAAGCAGAGTGTGAATGCCGCCGAGCAGCCAGTGAACCTGCCAAGTCTTATTGTTTTAACCGAGCAGGGTTTCGAGAATTCAAATCTGTCAGGTCCAGCTTTTGGGTGGGTTAACAATTTAGAGTTTGCCGGTCTCCATGTGGGATGCTTTCGGGCTCCCTTTTCCAAGACCTCCACAACCAAACACACAAAAGATCAGAATAGACCCCTAAACACCCTTAAACCTTATACCCTTATACCCCGAATACCCCTAAACCCTCAAACCTTAAACCCTTCGACCCCCTAAACACCCCTGAATCAGGGGGGCCTCCTCCTCGGTAAGGACGCGCCCTCCACATTTCTGGGTCATGCGCGGCCGGGGACTCAGCTGCAAGGAGCCTGGAACTCACTCTGCGGTGGCTTTCAGGGGCTTTCAGGTGCTTTTGTCGGGCTTTTTGGGGTGTGGGGTTTCGGGTTTAAGGTTTCAGGAGCTTCAGGGCGCTTTGGGCTTTCGGGTTGTAGGGTTCAGGGTTGAAGGTTTCCGGCTTGAATGGGCTTTAGGATTTAAGGTTTGGCCTGTTTCGGGCTTCAAAGACTTTAGGGCTTCATAAGGGGGGTCGGAGATTTCCGACACTTTAAGGCTTTAGGGGAATATGGTTTCCTTATTTTCGCAACTCACATTAAACCCCTTAACAGGAACCCAGTTAAGGATGAGGTTCCAGGTCGACGCTTGAAGTGCCCGGGTGGCCAGGTGCACACAGGGATAAAGGTGTTCTACGGCTTGAGGAGAGGCTTAAAGTGTTCTGTTATGGTGTGAGGAGGTGGTGTTGTGCGGGTTATCTTGGGTTGCATTGTGGCTTTGTAGCATGTCGTACTGGTTCTCTTCGGTTGCAATGTCAATGTGGCTTTGCAAGGAGGCAGTGACGCCCGAACGTCCACACATCCCGGATCCCTCGTCGCTGGGATCTGAATTCCGGCTCCCCTCCTTCGGTTCGTTTCTACTTTGGCCCCCCTCGTTGTGGAAGAGGCTTTGGTAGGTCGGGGCCAAGGCGACCGAGTGCCTCAAGGTCAAAACCCGGTCATACTTCCCAGCACGTGGCTGTCTAGCAAAGATCTGAGAAGTTGTAGGGTCTCCCAAACCGGAGCTTAAACCCAGACCCTGGCCTCCGGTGTGGGCAGCAAACAGGCGCCAAAGAGCGGCTGCAGGTCACAGGATCGTATTTAAAACCTACCGAGAGGTAAAATTTGAACTTCTGAGCCTGAGCCTGCTCTCGGGTGCTGAGATCTCAGAAACCGAAGTTCTCGCGGCGTTGGACGTCACTGGAGCCAACAGCGAGAAAGCTGGCTTTCTGCGAAAAGCATCGAAAAGCTCTCAAACAGCAGCATGGTACGCGCAGAGTTTGGTGTCTAAGGCTTGTAGTCTCGTCCGTTGGAGTGGACGGTATGTCAAGACAGACGACATAACGAACCGGACCTGCTGTCAGGTAACATGCGGCGTCGGAGGCAGCAGGCTGAGACTCGTCCGCAGAGTGTTGCTCCTCATGTGTTCCCGTGAAGAAGCAAATCTGCCCGTGCAGATTCTGGTTGTCATCAGCGGTTCACCTGCTTTCGATCTGCGATGACCTACTCCGCCTCTACCTGCTCCTCCTCCTACTACGACGGCGAGGACCACCATCACCATCACCACCGCCACCACCTAGACCAAGACTAGCGACAACGACGGCGACGACGACACTGCTGCAGAAGAACATGTGGCGCAAAGAGACCAGGTAACAAGCTCCCGAATCGGACTTAAAGCTGTTTTCGGGCTCCAGCACGTTGGGCTCTTTTGGAAGCTCTCGCTTCCAGAGAGCCTCCTCTCTCGGACGGGAGGCCACGGTCGCCGCTTCGCAGCTACCTCTGGACAAAGAGCTCACTCCGCCCTCTTCGCCAGGCCAGATGCTTTAGAATCCAAGGGAAGCGATGGCGACCGTACTCCATGCTCAGATCGCTGTGGCCCCTCGTTGTCTCCAGCTTTCACCCAATCTCCGAGGCCTCACGGGCCCGTCGGAGTCGCGGCTGCGCTCTTCATTGAGACTCTGCAGGGTTTTGGCTTAAGATCTGCCCGACAGTGTCTTCGCGTTGCTCTCTTGCTCCGTCTGCTTCCGACGCTCCCTCAGAGATGCGAGAATGAAATTCAGATTGCTTCTCGCCGCGTTTTCCGGACGCCCATACCCGGGAAATCGTTGAGCTACCACCTCCAGGCTCTTCAGCAGCAGCTCCATCTGTTTCACAAAATGTGCAGGCGTCCTGTGGTTGAGAAGATTACGGAGCACCATGGCCACTTCTGGATGCTTTGGGCCGTAGTCCCGCACTGCAATCTCGACGCTGCGCTCCAGCAGTTCCTTCCTCCAGCGTTGATCTCCGAGCTCGTCGATAGCCACGGAGAGATCGGAGAGAGCCAGGGAAATACGGGGGTTGTCTGGATCGCAACTTCCTTCCAGGACATCGAGCAAGCGGATGCCAAGCTCGCTGGCCCTTTGCGCCTGGCCGGCTCGCATGCATGTTTCCATCAGCTCGCCGACAGCCAAGATTCCCACCGCCGTGTTCTGCTGATTCCGGGTCAAAGCGTAGCCCACCTCCCGCGATGGCAGCTCGCAGCGCGCCTGGTACTCCGCTTCCGCAGGCTCCGCAGCGCTTTTCGACCTCCGAGCTTCGGCCGTGACCTCCCTTAAGCGCGCGAGCTCCGGGTCGGGGGCGTGGCCGAAAGCCCGCCGGCAGAGGTTTGGGCTCTCCACGAGCTCCTGCCAGCGGAGGATCTGCGGACCCTCCAGGCCGAAGAGGAAGACGTGCACCAACTCGGGCTTCCGCAGGAACGCGAAGGCCCAGCCGCAGGCCTTGGACCTCAGCGTGACCCCGCTGAATTTTGGGTGACAGGGCCCTGCTACCTTCATGGAATATCTCCAGCCCGACTTGCCGTGCGTCTATCGTCTATCTCTAAGCTTCCGGCAGGAAGTAGTCGCTCGTCAGCTGCAGGAGGAGGATGCCGTGCCGGGTCTGCGTCGCAGCCTCCTTCTCGGTTCTTGGAAAGGCATTGAATTTAAGTTACTAAAAATAGGGAGACCATATTATCTTCTACAGATCCCTATTATGGTCATCAACCCCGTCCTTGTAGCGCAGGACCCAGGCTTGGGATGGGAACTCGCCCGGCGACTGGGCCGGCGCTCCGCAGAACGCGGCATCCCAGCGCCCCTGGCAGAGCCCAGTCACCATGCACTCTTCCATTCCCAGCGATCGGTCGTGGCAGAAGCTGACACCGCCTTACAGTGAGTAAACCCGTGACTACCTTACATCGACAAGACATGCATGGGTTCAGACTCTGCAAAGCCTGCAAAAGATAAAGTGGATAGTTGACGGCCACCGAGCTGCGGAATTCTTTCTTGAAATGCACGCCCTGCCCGAGCTGGTGCAGGATGAGGCTGTTGGTGGGGCCGCTGGGGGTGACGAACGAAATGAGGAAGTCTGCCTCCGAAGCCACTTGCTTGCCTTCCGGCTTCCCACGAGCTTGGTGAGCCTCGAAGTCGATGGGCCGCCACTGGCGCGCCAGCTTCAGCCTCTCGCGCACCTCGCTGTGCTCCTCCGTCAGCTTGTCTGCCTGGGCGTAGTCCGCCTCCGCTTCGCCGGACTTGCCCAAGATCTCGTTGGCGATGCCACGGCCGTTGTGGGCCGCAGCAGAGAGCTGGTCCAGCTCAATCGCCTCTCCAAAACAGCCGGCCGCCTCCGATGCCTTCCCTTCGCAGAGCCACCGCCAGCCCAGGGCTACAGCATCCTCGCAGCGGTCGCTGCCATCGCCGTCGCCAACCGCCTCCTTCACAGCGGCTCTCACAGCCGGCTCGGGAAACTCTGAACACCCTGTCTCTGACTCGCTGGCGCCTCCTCTCGCACTTCGCCAGGAGCTTCAGAAGCCATAACCGAGCCTGCCCTGCCAATGTTCCGAGGGTTTCAGGAAACTCTCTGAGTGAAATCGGATGAGCTGGAAGAACCGGAGATCTAAGTACTTTGCTGGCTCTCTTCCAAGATAAGAGAGACAAGAGGAGAGAAAGAGAGAGACAAAAAGACACAGAGGGAGAGAGAGAGAGAGCGAGAGAAACAAACAAAACAACGACTATGTCCCCATTTAATGGCTCAAGGCCTGTGGCACTTAACGGTTGGTGGGTAGTTTAATGAGACAGGATGAGAATGTCCATGCAAGCA